AAGATTCTTGGACGCTGTAAATAATTTGCTACGTAAGCTAGACTTCTGTTGACCACGATTCCGGAAAGTGTCCTGTTTCACTTAGCTGGACCTTCTGTTAACGTACTTCTTTAAAACCTTCTTGCCTACACAAAGTTAGATATTTACAGAAAGATCTGTGATAAATTTCCCTCTTGCCACCATCGCCGTTATTTTTCTTAAGCTCCTACCTCTAATGTCATCCACTACTTAAAGCCAAAGAGAAGACCAGAAAAATATAAGCTACAAGTAGACAACTTAAATCCCACGCAAAGCAAAAAAAAAAAAAAAGAAAAATATTAACAAGAAGCTGTATAAAACAGCAGCAGCCATACGCCTTCAACCACACCTTGCCGCAGAAGGGCTACAACACACTCAGAACCAAACACAATTTTAAATAACCGGGGTGCTCCTGGGCACAAACACGCGTGCCGCCTTGCCACCAACAAGCCGACGTACCTGCAGAGACGCGGGGACAGTCCGGCAGCATGGACTCCACCGAAGTGTCCAGGGCCTCCGAGCTCGACACCCAGTTGCAGCAGTTCTGTAAGGGCAGGCAGGCAATTTTCGGGTAAGCCAAAAAACTCAGGGCAAAAATAAAAATACACACTTCGCAAGTAAGGATGATGATTGCATCAAAATACCCCAACTAATCCACACAGCAGTCCCAAAAGGGACTGGAAGGTAAACTACACTAGCTTATACACAATAACTGGCAGTGAAATATGGTAATTTCACTCTAAATAAGTAAAAATTCTCCCCAATTCAGGAGATTTCTAATGTGCTTATTTAAGTGCTACTTATAGTACCAGTGGACTGAAGTAGGTGCTTGGACCAACCGGTGCCTGAATCACCCACTGCACATTTTAAGCTTTTCCTTTCTGTGTCTGTTAAATAGGTGTTGATGTAAACACCGAGCCTGCTTGCTCACCAACACGAAGAAAACAGAAGTTTTCAGGGTGTTTTGATGGAGTACACTGTGGAAAGAACGGTTGTGAAATCACAAAACAACAGATTATAACTGAATGAAAGCCACAAAGACAGCAAATTAATATTCAAATAATTGGAAACATAGCTGAATTGGGCATGAACACTCAAAAATGCAAATACTAGTCTTTGGGGAGTTATGTTCAGGAAGCATTTACATTTACTTTTCATTCCTGAACCTGTGAGTAGGATGAACTTACCATGAATTTTTTAAATGTTTTGCTCCAAATGCTATCTATTCAAAGAAGTTTATGAATTAAAAGTATTATATAATACGCTTTTAATAAAATATGCTGAAACTACACCAAATCTACTGAATTGAAGATTTAAGTATAAAGCATCTACAGTTTTAATAAGATTTCCAGCTGAACTATGAGATCTACACAGCTTCCCTTATTACAAATCTGAGTTTTCCCTTTCTGAAAGCCTGATTAACTTCATTAAGGGGAGAAGAAAAAAAAAAAAAACCAATACCAAACCAAAACAACTTTTTGGAAAGACCCAATGAATTTTCAGACAGATTTCTGAAAAATCATCCCATCAATCACGACTGTAAAAACGGACGATTGCTATTCTGGTAAACAAGCATGTATTGTGTATTTGTAGATGCTTGCTGCCCTAGTTGTGCACCATGGAGTCCGTCCTCACTGTGGAAAGATCCTTGACTGGTAGATCAAGTGTCTTATTGTATTTCCTTAATTCATTCTGTCTGGAAGAAGATGTCAGCTGTGTTGCAGTGAGGAGAGAATTTCAAAGGCTTCAGTCCCCACCAATAAAGGGCGAGGAATGGCTTTTGAATAGATTTGTCAAGGCAACCCTACTGTTCTGGGACCAGGGAGAGCAGGAACAACATAAAGGAAGGGTTGCTGTATGAGATTAGAAAGTGAAGTTCACAAAGCATGGCAGATTTTTGTAAGAAACAGTAGATCAATGAAACTATTGAACTCGATGGAAAAAAAAAAAGAAAACAAACACACTCCCCAGTAATGTAACTTTTTTAGCAAAAAATCGTTAAAATGGAAGTATTTCACAAAGGCTTTAAGGTTTAAAGTAGTAAAGCATTATACATTTTATAATTTGCATGTATAATTTTAATTAACAGCTGAATGTGAAATTGAAAATGTAAGATGGTAGAAATTATAAAAGAAGTAGAATTTTTATGAAGTATTACAATCATTTGAAATAAGTAAAATTAATATTAACTACTGATAGAACACTACATCAGAGAGCTGGAGATAATACAGAAGATTAGCACACAATTAACCAGCTTTTATATACAATGTGACACTTGCCTGTAAGAAATAAGTATTCTCGAAAGCAGTGTCAAGATATGTAAATGGATGATTTGTTTTATCATTCATCACAGCTCCTAATAAATTCAAAAATCATGACTTCTATAGGTACTAAAAATAGGCCACCAATGATACAGGAGAGATAGCTCCAATGAAGAATTACTTTTTTTAACAATTCATTCTTTCAATGACAGCAATTAGCCCTACAGACAGGCAGCGATTAGGTGTATATTTTAATTATTATTCATTTTACCAGTAGCCTTAAACCTGATTAAAGTAAGAGATATCCAGGTGATATGCTAGTCTTAATACCACTCAGCCACACTTCACATATGTAAAATTCTTCTTTCTTATAGGAGATTTTCAATGCTAATGTAAGTTATGACACTCCATCCACTTTTTAGGCCATTAATCATTTAACTTATTCTTTAAGATCTACTTTCTGCAAATGAAATTAAAGGTAATGCACTTGTCTTATTCAGACTAAATGCTTAAAGAAAAATGGAGTTGTCAGATTCAAATTACAGGATTTAAAATTTCGGTTTTACCACATAACATATATTTCAAGGTTTTGATTTCCCATAAAGAAAATGGGGATTCTTCTGACAGAGCCTGTAGGGGTTACCATTCTTTATATTTTTAACATTTAAGTCAGAGCTGTCAGACTGCATCCCAGGTGATTCTCTATTCCCATCAGTCACAGCCTACAAAACTGTAAGGTTAAATCAGGAACAGGCAGCCTATACACAAAGTTTCACCAAATCCGCAGGAAGAAGTCAAGCCTAACGAGAAGTTCAGGATACGACAAGTTCAGATTTGCCACGTGCACCTATTGTTTTAGTATTCTGCAATGGGAACGTGGAAAACACGGACATGAGCCTGATCTGGCAAGGAAGAGACTCATAAACGGAAGTCTAGTTGGTCTACATGTTCAAAAATCTGATTTTTGAAGATCTCCGCAACCCCATACTTCATTATTAAATGAATAACGAATGCACGGCTTCACCCTTCCCCCCAAGGGTGGAACTCGGTGCTTGCTGGCCACCGACCGACGCCGGCCCACCCTGAACCAACTCGCTGTTGGTAGGTGCACACAGTGGGTACCCCGGCTCTTCACCAGAAAACCTCGGAGCACTTCAGAACTAATTGCACCTCACGAAACTGCAGAGAGACGGGACTCTTTCGCCAGTTGTGCAAATCAAATCGTCAAAGTGAGCCACGGGGAGCTCAGAGGGGCTCTTCCACCACTGCCAGACCAAGCCAGGAGCGCTGGGTGAGCCCAGGACTTTGCTCCAGATGCGGGCAGCGCGCGGGCTGCCTTGGTGCACGTCTCCGCATTGCCGTGCAGCGGGGAAGAAACACTGGACTTGATTCCTATTATTTTGACTGCTATCTTTGAAGTTCAGAAGTGGCTTTAATCTCGGTTATTTTAGGGGCTGGTATGGGCACACAATTTCCACGCTCCTGTAACGTGCTGTCTTTCATATCCTACAGAAACGGAAGAGGTCAGCAGATAAAGACATGTTTATAAAGCCAGATACAGACGTGTATACCCCAACCCTTTATAAAAATCCCGGCCTCACCTCTCGCATCCACTCTCGAACAGTTTTCCCAGCTTCTTGATGCCACACATTGTGAACAGAGTCTGTCAACGCCACAGCAGTTACCTTATTCTTTACTTCTGCCTCTCGTTGAATCATCTGTTAAAAAATATTGGCTTTAAGTTCTTTCTTTCTATTGAATAGACTCTGCTTAGTCACAGATAATGATCTTAAATTAAAAAAGCAAGAGCAATACAGGCTGACTTCACTTGTTTTAAAGTTTATACAAATCCTAACAGCTCCAGAAACACAGAAAGACCTAATATTTTTGATAAAAGAAATAATACTAACTTTTAACTGACTGAACTATTCAGTCCTATTATTTTCCATGTGGCTTGACAATTCTAGGATTAAAGGCATCATAGTGAAAAAATGGAAGATTCCCTGAGGACACCTTTTACAAGCTTCTCCAAGTTCCTATTTCTGTGCTTCAGGGAGGCTGGTACCCGCGGTTCACTGTAAGCTACTCATGACTATCATCTACTAATTTTCAGTAGATTGCTGTAGTTTTTCTGATGTACAATCCTACTTTGACTTGTATGGGTTTTTCGCTTTTTCTATCCAATTTAGCTACCTTGCACTCCCACCATGGTCCCAAAATTCTTTGTGGTCTCTCTTAAAGATACGCTTACCCAGCTAACGCCGGAGCCTCTCAACATCTTTAGGATATTAAAGAACCTCTGTTGTTGCAAATGACAGTATGACTAAATAATATTAGTTCTAAAACCAATTAAATGATTGCTGCAAATAACATGAACGAACTGACAAAGATGCTGTGGAATTCAGTGCTGCTTTGCAAGATAAAAGGGACTGGGAAAGAATAGTTTGATATCAAAGAGAGACAAAAAGGTTTTAATCTCCTGACACGAATGACCCTAATTTGTAACACTGGATCAAAGAAAGTATAATGAATTATACTTATAAAACCAGCATTTTGCAACTAGTGTCTTCATCACTGTGTATGCTGTACCAAAGTTAATGTTTTCTTTCAGTTTCCTTTTGTATAAATTTTTTTTTAAAAATTTTTTTTCTAAAACCAGGCATTGTTGTTCATGCTTAGTAACTGCTTACCAGCATAGAGGCTGCACCTCTGAAAACAGTGCTCTGAAAGGGACTTTTACAGTGGGGATGTGAACCATATTTTGCATCAGAAACTCCAAAATAAACACCCCGATCCAGATTTTTTGATACTAAAGTAGCATTTATCCATACCTTATGCAAGCTATCTCCTGGATTTTTCAAAATATCACACACATAAATGCTTTTGACCAAATACCCTTACTTCCAGTTCTACACATCTGCAGTATGATATTGTGAATTATCGCATCTTGCCCTTTTTTTGGTTTACATTATGTATATTTTAAAATCAGTGTAATCAAATTAGTATTCTAAGGGAAAAATATTTACTGATATTGGCCCGGCAGCGTCAACGCAGAGCTCCCTGTTCCAGACAAAATCAGGTATCAGCTTCCCCCATACTCTGAACTACACGATGCAGGAGTTCAGCTGAGCTTGGGACATCTTGGGAAAGTGCATATGAAGAAAATCTTAAAAGTAATCTTTCTTCACGTGAAGCCTTTCCGTACATACCATTTTTTCCCATCATTTACCCTCCTATAGGGCACATTTAATATCTAGAATTTTTGGAGGATGGGACATTACAGGTACACGTGTGGGGGACAACATCACAGATCTAGGACAAAATAGCTTCTAGTGTAACAGGGTGAGCTGCTTCCAGCTGTAACATACCACTGACATTTTCAGCCAAACACCTGATACTGAGCACCAAATTTCACTGTAAATATCAAGATGGCAATACTCCCTCCATTATGAAACCATATGTAGGAATAGTGAATCTCTCAGGACGATCTTCACGCCGTTGCAGGAACCACCAGCGTTTATGCTAAACCGGGGATGAAACCCCTGAGCTCCACAGGAAGGCGGAGCCTCAAAACAAGGGGTTTTATTTACACTACAATCCCCCTCCCCAGACCTGTATGGACATCTCAAGCACCGATAAACGCTTTGGCTCTCAAAGGGCTGAGTCACTCAGACCTTCGACTAGCCTGGTTCAGCA